GTGGGGTGGGGGGCAACCAGCCTCCTTCTACCACCTCCAGCGCTCTCCTCTCGCCCTCTGCGCCTGCACGCTGGTGCGTAGGCAACCCATGAAGCTGCCGCGTATTCTCCAGAACACCCGGTACGGCAAACCTTAAAATACGGGGCAGCTTACTCTTGTCTGACTATTTCTTGGGGGCCACAGTGACTTTCTTGACTAACCCAAAATCAGACAATGCATTAGTTCTGACATAACTTAGTAGATGTACGCCAGACCACGGTATCTCACAAACACTGTAACGCTGACGCGCCCATACATCTAGCTGCCCACGGCGCTGACACCCACCCGAGTAGGGCAAAAGGCGGAGTCGTAAAGAGGCCACTCAAACGGCACAAAATTTGGTCAACAGGGTTTTATTTTTTCTAGTAAGCTCAATAGAGACCACCAAGTACGTAAGTAAACCCATTCATTTGTGGTGTTATTTCCATGTGGGAATCTGCCTCACCGTTTAAAAATGTTGTAAGGAAGTGCAGAAGTACAGTCTGTCTTGTATATTTCATGTACGGGCCAGATTGTAAAAATATGGACCGTACTTCACTGTGAGTGCTATATGGACCAAAAAGACGGTTGGCAAAGTTTCAGTACACCACGTACGGAGTGCTTGTTAAATGACCTATTCTTAGACAGTTTTTGAGCTGGAGGGCTCAAAATCAATATGTATGGGATATTAAATTTGACGGGAGGGAATCAATTTTTAAATCCTGATACAATGATGGAAACATTTTCATTAGTTATTTTTTTTACAGTAAACTGGTTCCGTATTCTCTTCATTTTAAAACACTAGCAAACAATATATAATTTGTGATGTTGCAAAAAATTTGTAAACTTTGGATTTCAAAGAATTAGTTGGTATTGCAAATAAATTCTTTGCAAGCTGTGAGAATTCTTGCAGCTATTGTGTTTGCATCGCAAGGAAATAGTTTGCAATCTTGCGAAGAACTAGTTCATGTAACAATTCTTCAAAATTCTTCTCAAGCTGCAAAAAATATCGTTTGAAAAATACGAACATGCATGCTCTATTCACCCTGTTCTCCTCCTACTCACCGTGTACTTGTACCTCTACTCTGTATTTACCCTGTTCACTATGTTCTCCTGTGTACTC